ATGAGAAACCCAAAGAACACCCACGAAATTCATCATAAAAGATCATCACCTAGGCACATACTCATCAGGTTATCAAAAGTCATGATGAAGGAAAGAACCTTAAGAGCTGTGAGGCAAAAGCATCAGGTAACCTATAAAGGAAAAGGTATCAGATTAACAACAGATTTCTCAGCAGAAACCCTACAAACTAGAAGGGATTGAGGCCCTATCTTTAACTTCCTTAAACAAAACAATTACCAGGCAGGAATATTGTGTCCGATGAAACTAGGCTTCATAAACGAAGGAAAGATAGAGTCTTTTTCAGACAAACAAATGCTGAGTGATTTTGCCACTACCAAGCCAGCACTATAAGAACTGCTGAGAGGAGCTCTAAATCTTGAAATAAAACCTTGAAATGCACCAAAATAGAACCTTCTTAGACATTAAATCTCACAGGACCTATAAAACTATAACAGAATAAAAAAAATAAGGTATTTAGGCAACAACTGGCATGATGAATAGAATAGCACCTCACATCTCAATACTAACACTGAATATAAATGGCCTAAATGCTCCACTTAAAAGATACAGGATGGCAGAATGGATAAGAATTCATCAACCAACTATCTGATGTCTTCAGAAAACTTACCTAACACATAAGACTTACAGAAACCTATGGTAAAGGAGCGGAAAAGGATAGTCCATTCAAATGGACACTGGAAGTGAGCAGGGTGAGCTATTTTTGCATCAGACAAAATGGACTTTAATGCAACAACAGAGAGAAAAAACAAAGAGAGATATTATATAACAATAAAAGGTCTAGTCCAACAGGAAAATATCACAATCCTAAATATATATGCACCTAACACTGGAGCTCACAAGTTTATGAAACAGTTACCAGTAGGCTTAAGAAATGAGATAGGTGGCAACACAATAATAGTGTGCAACCTCAATAGTACTCCACTGACAGCACTACACAGGCCATCAATTCAGAAAGTCAACAAAGAAACCATGGATTTAAACTATACCCTAGAACAAATGGACTTAACGATATTCACAGAAGGTTCTACCCAACATTTGCAGAATATACATTCTATTCATCAGCACATGGAACATTCTCCTAGATAGACCATACTATAGGCCACAAAACAAGTCTTAATAAATTTAAGAAAATTGAAATTATATCAAGTAGTCTCTCAGAGCACAGTGGAATAAAATTGGAAATCAAATCCAAAAGGAACCTTCAAAACCATGCAAATACATGGAAATTAAAGAACCTGCTCCTGAATTATTACTGGGTCAACAATGAAATCAAGATGGAAATTTAAAAATTCTATAAACTGAACGATAATAGTGACACAACCTATCAAAACCTCTGGAATACGGCAAAAGTGGTGCTAAGAGGAAAGTTCATAGCATTAAATGCATACATCAAAATGTCTGAAAGGGCACAAATAGACAATCTAAGGTCACATCTCAAGGAACTAGAGAAGCAAGAACAAACTAAACCCAAACCCAGAAAAAGAAAAGAAATAAAAACCATCAGAGCAGAACTAAATGAAACTGAAGCAAACAAACAAAACAAAAGAAAAATGAAACAAAGGCTGGTTCTTTGAAAACATAAACAAAATTGATACATCATTAGCGAGGTTAACCAAGAAAAGAACAGAGAAGATTCAAATAAGCTCAATTAGAAATGAAACAAGAAATATTACAACCAATACTACAGAAATACAAAAGATCTTTCAAGGCTACTGCGATCAACTTTACAGGCACAAACCAGAAAACCTGGAGGTTATGCATAAATTCCTGGAAATATGCAAACCTCCTAGATTAAACCAGGAAGAAACAGAAAATCTGAACAGCCAATAAAAAGCAGTGAGATTGAAATAAAAACATTTTTTAAATTGCCAACAAAAAGTACAGGATCAGATGTATTCATAGCTGAATTCTATCAGATATTCAAAGAAGAATTGGTGTCAATCCTACTGAAGCTATTCCAAAATATAGAGAAAGAAGGAATCCTGCCTGAAGCATTATATGAAGCCAATGTCACCTTAATACCAAAACTAGGGAAGGACATATAAAAAAGAAAACTACAGACCAGTACCCTTGATGAATATACCTGCAGAAATCCCCAACAAAATACTAGCTAACCCAATCCAACAGCATGTCAAGAAGATAATCCACCATTGTCAAGTGCATACCAGGGATGCAGGATAGGTTAGCATACACCAGTCAATAAATGTGATACATCACATAAACAGAATTAAAAACAAAAATCACATGATCATCTCAATAGATGCTGAAAAAGCACTGGACAAAATCTAGCATTTCTTTATGATTTAAAACCTTCAGCAAAATCGACATAGAAGGTATATACCTTAATGTAATAAAAGCCATCTATGACAAACCCACAGCAAACATACTGAATGGGGAAAAGTTGAAAACATTGTCCTGTTGAAAACATTGTCCCTGAGAACTGGAACAAGACAAGGATGTCACTTTCATCACTTCTATTCAACACAGTAGTGGAAGTTTTAGCCAGAGTAATCAGACAAGAGAAAGAAATCAAGGGCACCCAAATCAAAGAGGAAGTCAAACTGTCCCTGTTCACTGATGATATGATTGTATACCTAGAAAACCCTAAAAACTCATCCAGAAAGCTCCTAGAATTGATACCTAAATTCAGTAAAGTTTCAGGATACAAATTCAATGTACACAAATCAGTAGCACTGCTATACACCAACAGTGACCAAGCTGAGAATCAAATCAAGAACTCAAACACTTTTACAATATGACCAAGTTGAGAACCAAATCAAGAACTCAAACACTTTTACAATAGCTGTAAAAAAATACTTAAGAATATTCTTACCCAAAGAGGTGAAAGACCTCTACAAGGAAAACTGCAAAACACTGCTGACATCATAGATGACACAAACAAATGGAAACACATCCCATGCTCATGGATCTACAGTAGAATCAATATTGTGAAAATGACCATACTGTCAAAAGCAATCTACAAGTTCAATGCAATTCCCACCAAAATATCATCATCATTCTTCACACAACTAGAAAAAAAATTCTAAAATTCATATGGAACAACAATTAAAAAACAACAACAACAACAACAACAACAACTGCATAGCCAAAGCAAGACTTAGCAAAAAGGACAAATCTGGAGGCATCACATTAGTCATCTTCAAACTATACTGCAAGGCTATAATCACCAAAACAGCATGGCACTGGCATAAAACTAGGCACAATTAGACCAGTGGAAAAGAAGAGAGGATCCAGAAATAAAGCCAAATACTTACAGCCAACTGATTTTTGACAAAAGCAAACAAAAACATAAAGTGGGGAAAGGACACCCTGGTTAACAAATGGTGCTGAGATAATTGGCAAGCCACATGTAGAAGAATGAAACTGGATCCTCATCTCTCATTTTATACAAAAATTGACACAAGATGGATCAAAGACTTAAATATAAGACCTAAAACCATAAAAATTCTGGAAGAGAACATCAGAAAAATGCTTCTAGACATCTGCTTAGGCAAAGACTTCATGGCCAAGAACCCAAAAGTAAATGCAACAAAAACAAAAATAAATAGATGGGACTTAATTAACCTACAAAACTTTTGCACAGCAAAAGTGATCATCAGCAGAGCAAACAGACAACCCACAGAGTGAGAGAAAATCTTCACAAACTATGCATCTGACAAAGGACTAACATCCAGAATCTACAGGGAACTCAAACAAATCAGCAAGAAGAAAGCAAACAATCCCATGAGAAAGTGGGCTAAGGACGTGAATAGACAGTTCTCAAAAGAAGATATATAAATTGTCAATAAAGAGGAAATAATGCTTAACATCACTAATGATCAGGGAAATGTAAATCAAAACCATAATGTGATACCACCTTACTTCTGCAAGAATGGTCATAACTTAAAAATCTAAAAATAATAGATGTTGGCGGGTATGTGGTGATAATGGAACACTTTTACACTGCTGGTGGGAATGTAAACTAGCACAACCACTATGGAAACCAGTGTGGAAATTTAGTAAAGAACTAAAAGTAGATCGACCATGTGATCCAGCAATCCCATTAAATATGTATAAATATATATATTTATATACCATGGAATACTACTCAGCCATAAAAAGGAATAAAATAATGGTATTCACAGCAATCTAGATGGAATTGGAGACCCTTATTCTAAGTGGGGTAACTCAGGAACGGAAAACCAAACATCATATGTTCTCACTTACAAGTGGGGGCTAAGCTGTGAGGATGAAAAGGCATAGAATAATATAATGAACTTTGGGGACTTGTCAGGGAAGGATGGAAGAGGGGTAAGGGATAAAGACTACCCATTAGGTATAGTGTACACTGCTTAGGTGATGAGTGCACCAAAATCTCAGAAATTACCACTAAAGAACTTACCCATGTAAGCAAACACCACCTGTTACCCCAAAACCCGTTGAAATAAAACTAATAATAATAAATGATTTAATTTCACCAAACTTAAAAAGTTCACTGTTCAGAGTTGATAATAATAAAAGAAGAATGAAAAGTGTAGCAAGTGGTAGCTTCTGGACAATGGGACTCTAGATTTTCACCTTGCATACACTTTTCTAGCATTTGGAAAGGAAGTATACACATGAATATATCACCACTATAATAAAGAAAACATCAAAACATGGTGTCAGGCCATTGTCAGCCTTGAATGACCCTATGATCTGCTTTTTCATTTGGATATAAAGCCTCACAATGGTAGTTCACATTGCTTAATGTGATACCTAGGCCCATAATTGTTTTTTAAAATCAAGACAGCAATTACTTACAGGAAATTGAACAAGATGGGATCTCATGGGAGAGGCTGATAGGTACTGGATATGGGACAGAGGCCAAGAATCATCTCAGTTAGGATTTGTGCCTCAAATACCTCTGGCCTCTGATTTGTCCATAGTCCTTATACAGGAATTAACAAGACTGTCCAGCATCTTCATAAGCCTGTATTGCTAACCAGCTTTCATTTCAGCTCCTGTAGGCATCTCCTGAATTAAGCAACACAGAAAAGTCCTCTGAAGTTACTGAATCCCAGAAAGGCTCTCTACCTTTAGCACAAGAGGAGTCTTCACCTCTGGACAAAGAAGGAACAATAAGGGTAAGTACCAAGAACTGTCTTCTTCCATAGTCAGTTATGGTTTTTGCTATAAGATCATGTCCCTGTGCTTCCACCTTGGTGCTACATGCAGGAGGTCATGAGCTTGTTTCAGGATAAGACAGGAGACATGAAGCTTCCTTTTGGAAACTCAGTGCTGCCAGTCCAAATTGTGTGAGTTCCAAATGGGGTCCCCCTTCTGATTTATCCCCATATCACCTCCTTCATCCCAATCATTCAATCTGCTCTCCTGGAGAGAATGCTGCCTCTTACATTCTTTTAACAAGCAAGGGGACATGCAGGCACTTCTTCCCAGAGTTGAACTGTTATAGAGCCAGTTTTGTTGTTTTACTTACCTTTCAAATTTATTCTTCTTTGCCTATCTGGAAAGATCTAAGGAAGATATAGATGGTCCAAAAATTAAGGAGTGTTTCATGAGGAAAGTATTTACAAAGATGCACAGGGTTAAGGGAAAGAGACAATGCATGGGTTAGCACCCTAAGCAGCAATACATAGGGGAGCACTACTTCCTCGCTTAGGCTGAAAGGGACAGGGAAGGAGCAGTTACCATTGTCGCAATAGCCATAGCTGTAGCCATAAGGGTGGGAGAGCAGGAGCAGGCAAGTAGAGAAGCCCTTCATGGCTAACACACAGCTACACAGGCTGATATAGTTTGGATCTATGTTCCCACCAAAATCTGATGTTGACTGTAATTCCCAATGTTGGAGGGAGGGCCTGGTGGGAGATGTTTATTAGATCATGGAGATGGTTTTGCATGAATGTTTTAACACCATCCCCTTTTGGTATTGTTGTTGTGACACTGATGAGTTCTCATGAAATCTAGATGCTTAAAAGCGTGTAGCAACTCCTCCCTCTCTCTCTTGCTCCTACTCTCACTATGCGAGATGCCTCGCTCCCCCTTTGCTTTTCACCATGATTGGAAGCTTCCTGAGGCCTCCCCTGAAGCAGAAGCTGCTATGCTTCTTGTACAGTCTGTAGAGCTATGAGCCAGTTAAACCCATTTTCTTCACAAATTTCCCAGTCTCAGGTATTTCTTTTTAGCAATGCAATAAGGAACTAATACACAGTCAGAGAGCCAGGAGATGGAAATCCCAAGGTGCTCTCCTGCTGTCTTCCAGTCTCCTGTCGGTGTCTCCCAGTGTCTCAATTCCACCAGAAACCAGAAATAATAAGAATCCACTGATGTGGTACATAGAAGCCACTCTCTTGGGATGTCAAACAGGATAAAGAAGAATGGAAAGCAAATCCTCATGGCAAATGAGACTATCCTTCTCACCTTCTTGTGTCCTCCTAATTCCTGGGACTTTCTTTATTTGATTGATTCCTGTCTCATTTCAGCTCTATCAGACTACTTTAATGTTTGGCATGTCTTTCTCTACTGTCACTTTTATGCAGAAAAGTTTGCATTTGTCAAAAATGCATAGAAAATAAAAAGTAATTTTAAAAAGAGAACATATTTATTTTGTTTAGAATATAAGTTTGGCTGTTCTAATAAAGACACGAAGTAGAAATATATTAAACAAGAAAGTATAGTTGAGCCTCTGGGTCACTAAGTTCTGAATCTACAGATTCAACAAACCACAGGAGGAAACTTTTCCAAAAATAAAGGTGTGGCGGAATTGTGTATGTACTGAACAGGTACAAACTTGTTTTTCCTTGTCATTATTTCTGAAAAACTACAATGTAACAAGAATTTACATAGCATTTGCATTTTGTCAGTTATTCTAAGTAATTTTAAATGATTTAATGTATCTGGGAGAAAGTGCATAGACTATATACAAATACCACATATAAGGAAATTGAGCATCTGCAGATTTTTGTTTGTGCTGGGGTTCTGGAAACAATCCCCCATGAATACTGAATACACAAAAATGACACTCTTTGAGATCTGAGCTAGAAGCTCCAACACATCATACACCAGAATTCCAAAAATTGCTGCTTCCAGTTCCTAGAGAGTTGCCCTCATCCTTGTGATCCTACCTGGTTCCCAGCAACATCAGCATTCCAGTCTTATGGAAAAGGATGAGGCTTTGCTCCTTCTATTAATCCCATGAGCTGGACTTGGTTCTATCACTTTTGTGATTCTTCCACTTAACAGCACCTGGTCATGCAATGTCATCCAGCACCAAGGAAAACTGGAATGTGGGTCCTTGTGCTGCTTGTGCATTCTCAGAATTGTTACATGACCACAGAGGAAAATGAATGTTGGGGCAACCTAGCAGTCTCTTCAGTCCCTGACTGTCTCTGATTCTGTGCTCATATCAGTATTTTTCAGGAACTCCTCAGAAATAATAAATGAAGGGGCAGAGAACAGAACTGGTCTCATGCAGGGCTCCAGGGACCAGGGGCTGGTATTGGACCTGCTCTTCATGTTGTGAACTCAGGAAAACCCTTTAATTCTCTAGGTCTTGGCTTCATCTCATGTTATATGAGGAATAATACCATAGATGGTCTTTAAGGAACACATGCTAAATGTTGGTGATACCACAGTGAAAAAGACAGGCATGACTTACTCCTTATCGAGCTTTGGGTTTCATGAGCAAGACAAACATATCGTACCATAACTATAGATAGACAAACAGCTTAGTGCCCTGAGTGTGGGTAACAGAGGTTCTCCTTTTCCTCCCATTTCCTTTCTCAGCCAATCAGAGCTGTGGCATCTTGTCTCTTTAAGAGAGCTCATGATGGACGCACTCACTCCTGATGCTCATCTGTACTCCCAGAGGAGGCTGCGTCTTCTTTCCACCTGGAGAGCTCCTGCCCGTGTGCATTCTCAGGATTCCAGAACAAATGTGGCCTCTGATAGGCAAAGAAAAAAAAAAAAACTGAATTTGTTCCTAAATGGTGTTCACTGACCTCCATTTTGTTCCCTATTTCATTTGCTTCTCATTCTCTACCTGGAGTTTGTTTAGGTTAGTTTTTTTTTTTTCAGACCACAATTTTGACTGCTAACTTGGATTTAACTTGAGAATCACTCCTCTACTTTACCCCGTCTAACATGTATAATTGACACATAGTGATGCTGGGTCCAAAGGGCTGGTAAAAAACTGGATCGTAGCCGGGCACGGTGGCTCAGGCCTGTAATCCCAGCACTTTGGGAGGCCAAGAAGGGCAGATCACGAGGTCAGGAGATCGAGACCATCCTGGCTAACACAGTGAAACCCCATCTCCACTAAAAATACAAAAAATTAGCTGGGCGTGGTGGCGGCTGCCTCTAGTCCCAGCTACTCGGGAGGCTGAGGCAGGAGAATGACTGAACCCAGGAGGCGGAGCTTACAGTGAGCTGAGAACGCGCTACTGCGCTCCAGCCTGGACTACAGAGCCAGACTCCGTCTCAAAAAAAAAAAAAAAAAAAAAACTGGATTGTGAGTCAGCCCTGCTGGGCTCACATTCATACTACATAATATATAACTCCCAGGACAAATAATTCCCTCTCTTTGTACTCTAATTGCATTATCTGCAGTAGAGGAATAATGCTAATTTTTACCTCTTAGGCTCTTCAGATGATTAAAAGAAGCAATACCTAATAAACTGTCAATCAGCTGCTGTTATTCTCCCAGATTAGACCTAATCCTCATTCTCCAGTTGAAATTTGCATCAATATGTCTCTTTACAAGCCAAGCCCTACACTTCTCCTATTTCCACTCATGGACTCCTCTCATATAAATGTTTGCATCAACAAAGAAAAGCTACCAAAGATCTCCCGAAGGAGAGAATGAAATAGGTTTACATTGTGCATACCCAGTAGAACACTTAGTAGTGCCTCATAGATATTCCCACACTTCAATTACCTGCTTCAGTGGCACTCAGACTTCACCCTCACTTACTCTTTCCTCTGCTCTATTGCTGAGCAGTTCAGCTCAGACACACACCCTACCAAAAACATTGTGTACAAAATGCTTCTAGGTGTTCAGCAAAGCTACATCAGTGGTCAGTTTCAGGTTCTGGGCACTCATCAATAATTCTTCTCAATACAGATAGAGCTGTCCAAAAACAGAATTCTGATAAATGAAATTTCCTTCATCTAATTATACATGTGTGTTTTAATGCCTTACATTGTGCTTTCACTTTTATTTTCCATTTCATCCAAATCTACCATTACCATTAGCTGCCCATGCATGCATCCCTTCATTGAACGAATGTTTATGAAGAGCACAGTATGCTGGTCATGGAATAGGCACTGGGAGTAAAAAATGTAAAATGTGGTCCTGTCTGCAATGACTGACACACTGAGTTATTTCTCACCCACCAGGCCCAGCCATTTTCACACTTATCATAGTGAAGGCCACATTTTCCTCTGATTCATAATGCATGGTCTTCTTTCCTGTCCCTGGATGAGCAGTACTGGTCATGAGGGTGTCACAACCACCTCTCTGTGTATCTGAATTCCTCCACCCGAGAGAAAATGTCAGGCCCAGGATACAGTAATGATCGGGTCCACAGCCCTGGCTGGATGAGTTGGGGGTGTTTTGATCCTAATGTTATTCCCATGTCAGTACAGAACTTGTGTGGCAGTAGAGAGAGGTCAGGCTTCAGAGTCAACAAGAACTGGATTTCAAACTGGATTTGAGGATCCCCACCTTTTGATAAGTGACTTATTCTCTGCGAGTCTCTGATCTCTCCTCTTTAAATGAGGACAGGAAAAATACCACATGGCAGGGTGGTGGGGAGAATCAGAGATCATACAGCTGGTGATCACATCTGGTTTGTGTTCCCAGGGGCACCAGACTAGGGTTTCTGAGCATGGATCCAACCATCCCAGCCCTGGGTACATCACAGACACCAATCAATGGACGTGAGGAGACTCCTTGCTACAAGCAGACCCTGAGCCTCACGGTACTGACGTGCATCATTTCCCTCGTGGGGCTGACAGGAAACGCGGTTGTGCTCTGGCTCCTGGGCTTCCGCATGCGCAGGAACGCTGTCTCCACCTACATCCTCAACCTGGCTGCGGCCGACTTCCTCTTCCTCAGCGGCCACATTGTACGTTCGCCGTTACGCCTCATCAGTATCCGCCATCCCGTCTCCAAAATCCTCAATCCTGTGATGACCTTTCCCTACTTTATAGGCCTGAGCATGCTGAGCGCCATCAGCACTGAGCGCTGCCTGTGCGTCCTGTGGCCCATGTGGTACCGCTGCCGCCGCCCCAGACACCTGTCAGCGGTCGTGTGTGTCCTGCTCTGGGTCCTGTCCCTGCTGCGGAGCATCCTAGAGTGGATGTTCTGTGACTTCCTGTTTAGTGGTGCTGATTCTGTTTGGTGTGAAACATCAGATTTCATTACCATTGCGTGGCTGATTTTTTTATGTGTGGTTCTCTGTGGGTCCAGCCTGGTCCTGCTGGTGAGGATTCTCTGTGGATCCCGGAAGATGCCGTTGACCAGGCTGTACCTGACCATCCTGCTCACAGTGCTGGTCTTCCTCCTCTGTGGCCTGCCCTTTGGCATTCAGTGGGCCCTGTTTTCCAGGATCCACCTGGATTGGCAAGTCTTATTTTGTCATGTTCATCTAATTTCTGTTTTCCTGTCCTCTCTAAACAGTAGTGCCAACCCCATCATTTACTTCTTCGTGGGCTCCTTTAGGCAGCGTCAAAATAGGCAGAACCTGAAGCTGGTTCTCCAGAGGGCTCTGCAGGACACGCCTGAGGTGGATGAAGGTGGAGAGCGGCTTCCTGAGGAAACCCTGGAGCTGTCGGGAAGCAGATCGGAGCGGTGAGGAAGAGCCTCTGCCCTCGATGAGACTTTGAGAGCAAGGCTGCCCTGCCACTCTTGACAATTATATGCATTTTTCTTAGCCTTCTGCCTCAGAAATGTTTCAGCGGTTCCTCAAGGTCTTCGAATAGATGTTTATCTAACCTGACAGTTGCAGTTTTCACCCATGGAAAGCATTAGTCTGACAGTACAATGTTTACAGTCTCCTTGATGTTACCAACACATTTTCCCTGTTATCTTACACCAAATCTTTCTTACTGAATACTTTTCCTGAAATTTTCATTGTAATAAAAGGAGTTCCTGTCCACAATCCTAAAACTCTTCTTTATGCTTCTTTTCTACCTGATAGTATCAAAAAGGAGGATTCCTTATTAATCTCTCAGATTATGTTCCCCTGAAAATCATGTTCCCTTCGATGACTGGAGGCATTACTGCAGTTAGAAGCTTGATTCTGAATAAGTGAGTTCTGCTATCTCTAAATTCCATTGAATTCTCAGATATAAAGCAAAATAATGTCCTTAGAGACAGACTCTCTCTTCATAAAAACACTCCCACAAATTGGTTTTATGAAAAGTCCTCTCCTGTCATTTATCCACAGCATGGTGACATGTTGGCCTTGGTTTCTAGTAAAAACAACTGTGGCCCCTTCCCCTTGAGAACTGGCAAGTTCTTATTTAGCTCTTCCTGGACTAGTGGACCCATGAGGAGCCTATAAATATGTCCGACCAGTTTCATTTTGGCCATGGGAAACCTCAATATTGATTTTAAAGTGGAAATTATCTTGAAAACCATTTATTATTCACTTACAGATTCTTTCAGTTGTAGGAGAATTCTTCATACTTCCAGGTTTTGTATAAATTTTTCTGACTCTAACTTTCAGTTAGTTTTATGGCTGTTTACATGAGAAGCAAAACTGAAAACATCTGACCTTTCCACGCCAATCTCAATTATGGGATCTGGATAATAACTTACAGTTGGTACAGAATTCTGATACGTGCTGTGACATAGATGAACCTGGAAACATTGTGCTAAGGAAAACTAGCCAGATGCCAAACAATATTGTAAGTTCAAATTCTATCAGGTATCCAAACTAGGAAATTCTTGAACACAGAAAATAAATTAGGAGGATCCTGGTGCTGAAAGATGGAGAGAATGTGTAGCCATTATTAAATGAGCACAGGATTTCTGTGTGGAATAATGAAAAGTGCTTAAAAGGGACAGTGGTAACGGTTACAACTTATTGTGAATGTACTTACCTACACAGAATTGGACAATTAAAACGGTTAAAGTTATAAAATGTATGTTATGTAAACTTTACCACAATTTAAAACATTTAATTATAAAAACGGGATCAGTACAAAATTCAGGACTATACTCTACCAGTGTTTAACCCTTGCACAGATAACTCAAGCAGACAGAAGAGACCACCAAGAGAAGATGTGACATCACTGTGGGCTATGTGCTGCTCACAGACAGTGAGGCTGCCCCTCAGATTGACCCTCACTGAGGGGAGCTGACACATGCAATTTGAGTATGCAGGAGGCAGTACAAAGGAGTTATGAAAGTAATAAAGAGGTCTATACTTTTCATTTTTCAAACCATATTTATTGGTGGCTCTTATCACACTGTTCACAATGTTGAACTCAGGTCCCCTGAGTCCAGATCCATTGCTCTTCCAGGCCCAGCATTTTGCTGATGCTGAATCCTATCTGTCCACCCTCGATTTCCAAATGCTGTAGTAGGACGTAGCTGTAGGTGAGGGTTTCCTACAGGCAAGAGGAAGCAGGAAAGCAGTGTTTGCAGCCAGTGCTCTGGGCCAGGAGCTTTGCTGTAATGTCTTTAGTTCAGACTGAGGGCTATTGAGAGAGTCCACTCTGGAAGTCTGTGATATCAATTGCACCGTTTCGGTTAAAGATGTCTGTCATGAGGAATTCTGTAGAGAATTTTCACCTGGCAATTGACTCAAATAATGTTCGTTCTCACCTGGGATTCTGCTTATTTTGATGTTAGTGACATTCTTTTTCTTTTGATAGGAGGAAACTTCAACTCCATGAAGGCTTAGATTCTGTCCCTGAAGCCCATTCTGAACTCATTTGGCCTCACACATTGCTCCACTACAGCACTTAAAACAGTGTACTTCAAATATTTGTCCTCACATCTTTCTCTTCAACCTCAGCCTGGGATCTTTAAGAGCAGAGAACATGTCTTTGAATTTCTGGTGCAACAGACTAGGTGTGGAATTTAGAAGAGTGTTGGCAACTATTTTTCTCAAGCAGCTTCCACCTGAAAATCTCATGGTCATCCAGAATCTTGCAAAGGCTGGCTCAGTCACCAGGTCTCACTGGAACTCCTACAGGCACCTCCCATTCAACAGAGTGTCCTCTGCAGTTGGTCGTTCTGAGAACAGCTGTTCCCTTTCATTGCAGGTCTGCTCACTGCCTCTGGGAAGAAGAATGGAGGGGATGTGGGAGTCTGCTCATGAGCTGCCTTCTCTCCAAGGCCAATGATAGTTCCTCTCGGTTACATGTCAAGGAAGAGCATGCAGGACATCCAGGAGTGTTCTCCAGAAACTGAGAAATGATATGAAACTCTCACATGGTACTTTTTGGGAGCTACTGTTCATGAATATTTTTTTTGAGATGGAGTTTTGTGCATGCATTTATTTGTTTATTTGTTTATTTGTTTATTTATTTATTTATTTATTTATATTGCCCAGGCTGGAGTGCAATGGCACGATCTTGGCTCACTGCAACTTCTACCTCCTGCATTCAAGCGATTCTCCTGCCTCAGCCTCCCAAGTAGCTGGGATTATAGGTGCCTGCCACCACGTCCAACTACTTTTTTGTGTTTTCAGTAGAGACGTGGGTTTCACCATGTTGACCAGGATGGTCTCAATCTCTTGACCTCATGATCTGCCTGCCTTGGCCTCCCAAAGTGCTGGGATTACAGGCGTGAGCCACCGTGCCCCACCCATGATTACTTTTTAGGCATGAATTCAACAAACATTCAAATCTAATTCATCAAGCACTGTGCTAATTCTAAATAAAAGCAAATAGGTCTTTCAAATAAGTTTCTCACTAATACATTCTATCTCTATATCCAATCCTTTCCACTTCACGAAGAGAATATATTGATTAATGCTGAGCAAATGCTGAGCCTTTGTGGTCATTCACTTATGCTCTAGTACACCTGGGCTCAAAGGCACTGAGTCATCAGCCTCACGAGAACCAATTGGATCTGTTTCTTGTCCTGGTTTTTCCAATTAGGCTTGTCAAAATAATTACCTGATTTATCAGAATACAGCACAAATCAATGAAATACGAGTATGAAAGAAGAACAGAGGTTTCCATACAAACTAATGTGAATGCTTAAAGGGACAATAAAAGCAGGTTCCAAAATTATTGTTAGTTTAATAGGTGTGAGTCTGCCAACTCTATCAGATTAAACAAAAATGAACAATATGGAACAATATCCTCAGAGAGAATGCTATGCATCTGATGCTAAGATCTATATTTAAACTAATCCACACTGCAAATCATAGACAATGAATGATATATGTGCTTTCAGCAAGATAGAGTAGAATTCTATTTGCAAACCCTGCACAAAGGAATGTTCTGTAGTCTAGTTCTATTATACTGAGTGAATTCTAGGTAAAAATGAAATATTCATGTTACAAATGTATCCTTTTTTATTAATACTGATTAACAGACATTTTCAATTAATCTCTCCACTTGCATTTCTGAATATATCATTAAGTGGGCTTTTCATAACAGTATATCTCACTTATTCTACTGTTTATTGTATAAATACATACTGAGAATCTCCTATTCTCTAGCTTGCATGCCAGACACTTAGGAGTCAAAATAAACATACCCACATTCACAGAACTCACAGCCTGTGAAGGAAGGGCACTAGTGCAGGAAAGACTGCCTCCCAATGTGACACATGCTATCCAAGTATTGTGTTTGTGGCTCAAGGGTGCTCAGAGGAGAGGGTATCTAAAAATTCCCAGTTATCTTGCTGCCATCCTGAAGAGGAATGCCACCCCCAAGCACCCAGCTGAAGCAGGACAATACGATTCCAGTAAATTAGAGAATGTTCACCAGGTGACTGCTCATGCAAAACAATCTTAGCAACGGTTTTATAGTTGATGACATCAAAAGATTAATAGGCTGAATCTTACAACAGCCCTCAGTTGATAGTCCAACATCACACCAGTGCACAATTCCTGAAAAGATTTTTAAGAGACCCTACACGTGCTTAGGTCACGGGCATTGCGGAACTATCTACCACCATTACTGTGTGTTCCAGCAGAAGCAGCCCTTACCTCCAGGCAAACCCAAATCAAAGCATCTAGAAATCTTAGGATACGGAAGGATGCAGAATATGCAAGTGCTGAAATGGGAAGAACATGGACATGGTTTCAGGGATTTGGGATTCTCAAGCTGACTGCATGGCCAACATGGGTCACATGCTCATTCCAGGGAAACCAAGCAGATAGTGAGGTTATGGGATTGCCCCAGTCTGAAACTGTGCCATTTGTGCACTTGTGCTCAGGTACCTCTTTTCAGAATAGGTGGGTAAAGTGTGACTTTGCCATAACCATGGACTGAATATAAGTACTGTTATGATCCAGGCCACCTGAGAAATTCATGTCTCTACACAGTGACTATAAGCATAGTAAGCGTGTGTTCTTCTCACCTATGTGGCAGCGACCTAGAATCCGAAGAGACTGCTGTGGTGCTTGTTCTGTATGACGGTGTGGTATCCACTGGGCACCTTTATTGTCAATGTACCAATGCTGACCATGGATATAGATGGCATTTGTTTGCTGTTATCTAACAACAACAGCAGAGTATAGAAGAAGAAATCTCAATGCTCATGCACATCGTGTTGGTTCAATTGTTCTGAAACCTTGCAGGATGCAAACGCAAGGAAGGAGAGCAGAGACAGAGCAGATCTCATTCCTAAGTGTGTATGTAGAAGTCAGTGGATCATGGAAGGCTTTGTGTAATAGGTAGAATTTTAACCAATGACTACAATTTACCCAGCATTATTATTAATAATTATACTGTCTGTAAATTTTGCCAGTCACACAAATTTTTGTATTGCACAAGGAGAGATAAATAGGATCTGGACATTTGGAAATAGAAGAAGAGATTATTTATACTGACACTGCTAATAAAAGCATAGAGTTTTTTAGGGAATGGTGAATAATTCATACATGAGTTTTATTCCTTGTATTCCCCCCCGCCCATGTATTTGGTCATGGTAGCAAGATCCCTCTTAAATAGAATCACAAGGCTGGAG